AACTCCAGTTATACTCATTCATTATATATGAATTCAGGAAGAAAAATAATTTTTCATTCATTTTCGACGCCACTCTTGTTTTGGCTGCTAACTTCATAAACTTAATTTTATTTCAGTTCATGACCAAGTAGAAAATGTTGAGAGGAATATTGTTTTTCTTACAGGCAAGAGTCTGTTTACGAATTTTTTTCTGCTTAGGTGGGGTGTGCATTTTTCAATTTGTTATTTGACATTCCAGGTTTTTTTTCTCCGCATAATTCATTAATGATTTCAAAATACTAGGGCGACCATGTGTAGTAATAAACATAAACACACCTTTATATAATTTTTTTTTTAATTTGACTAAATACAGTCCACTGTAGTCCACTGTTACAGTAATTAACTACATCAGACCTATTTAGCGAATTGAAATTAACATAAATCTTTCTTTTTGATTTGAAAAGTTATTGAGCTTATATTATCGTTTCCTTTGTCTAAAAATAATCTCAATATGTAGATATTCCCTGAACACCAAGACTCAACTGATCAAAATGCGTGCAACTTAAAAATTTAGAAAGTTTCGCTTTAGGGCAAATGCGTTCCTGTATAATTATTCTCTCTCGACTTATGATCTCGGGATTTCATCAAATGATTACGCACTTGAGTCATGTGTTAGCAAAATTTTGAAAATGATAGATTTGCACACATTTCAATTGATTAAAGTTAGTGCACTATGGATATAATACCAGAATAATTTTCTTAAGAATCGGACATGTTTTGATAACCATAACCTAGCTTATGAGACATCTCTAGATTATAAATTCCGATAAACAACTCACAGAGGCTCCAAGGAAACTTTTTCTTCTTCGTCGCTCATATTTCTTCACACATATCAATTATTCACTACTGTACTCATAGTGTAAAAACATTAACAACACAATAAAAATGTAACAATAGTGGTAGATAAGAAATCAAGTCATATTTTCATTCGCTTCATCATGTTTGAAGTGAGATACAAACGAGAGAGAAACGAGAAAAACAGCTAACTTACCTGATAGTCTGCGACAGAATAATATGTACCTATAATCCTAATATGAAACAATAATTGTACAATTTATCCATTGGCGTAACGTTGATGAAACCCGCAGGTTAACTTTTAAATGAAAATTGAGAATTGAAATTTTCTGTTTTTCACCACTTTTATTTGCAACTAACGTTACTGCAGTTTCGTCCTATAAGGACATTTTGAAACTTGTACATTGAACTAAGAATGATTGATTACATTATCCCTTATATATTTAACTTTTAAATGTTTTCAAGTGAACTTTACGATTTTGGCAAATGATGATATTCAATAACAAAGTTCATTCATGAGGATATATGGAAAATAAACTTCAATAATGAAATTATTTTCGGAGAAGTTCGACATTCAATTCATAATGTCGAAATATAATAATATGAAAGTGGAAATATATTATGATACAACCATCTCTTTTTTGTAGACGTCAACCTTTTTAAAAATGTCTACTCCCAATTCCTGGTATAGATATTACACTGGTATAGGCACCATAAGAGTATATTTCTTCAACCACATATGGTTTTATACAATAGCTTTGCAGACAACAATGTCATAATTTTATGAATCAAAAAAAGATAAAAAATTGGTTTAAATAATAATTTGTTAACTCTAAATTTTGAAAAATCATATTAACTTGCTTTCATTTCTTATCGAAATCATCTACCTAATCTTGGCCCTATCAAAGTAACTAATTTAGAAATTAAAGAAATATACCATATCAAATAGATAAGTATAATTTGAAATGGAATTATTTGAAATGAAATTATAATTTAAAAAAAAATTATGTCCTTTATTATGAAAATTCCAGTTTTTACAAAACAATTCAGGCTAAAAATTCATAGCGATGATTTATTTTTATTTAGTCCAATGTCAATTGAACTGTGGTATATTATAATGAGAAGCAGTTAAACTCATTTAAAAAAGAAAATAAATATTTCAAAACATTCATCTCTCCCAATTACCTAAACCGTAACTGGTAAATGCCTGGCGGAAAACCACTACCTACTTATCCGGCTGATACCACGATGGATATTGAATTATATCCAACAGACATTTATGCAAGATACCTCACAGAGATTAGTCTCGCAGATGTTTTTCGTTCATCCAACAGCAGGACCACGGTGAATTCATTCGAGTAAATCACCTACATACTGGTTTCGAAGTTTTACCTCTCATCAGTGCAGGAAAGGTTCGACCCAAACAACAGTGTGCTTCGGACTCGATTAGTTTCAACGTGGCTCCACTGCATATAAAACTTTGTCTAAGAGAAATAGTATTACCAAGTAACAGCTCCATTTCCGGTCTGTAGGTGATCTACTCGGGTGATTTCAGCATATTCCTGCTGCTGGAGAAACATCTGCGAGACTAACCTCCGTGAGGTATCTATCGGATATAATTCAATATCCAGCGTGTTATTAGCCAGGGAAGTACTTGTTTTTCGGAAGGCATTTACCAGAACCTACTGTGTAGTGTTGGATAACGATTGTATCAATTCCTTCATCACATCCCACTTTTTACCGATACATAAGCACGGCGATGGATCAGAAAAAAACTGCTTCAGTCTAGTTTCTCGTCACAAGGTTCTCGGAATCCTACGAGTTGATCATGAAGAGTATATTGGTGGAACAGAGATATTGCTGCTAGCAGAATAGAATGCAACACGAAGCACAGGTTATTAGATAGAGCCAATGTGTAAACTTCTGCTAACTCCATTGATACTTGAGAGAAAGAGAGAAAACAAAATTGCAAACGATCGCTTGAGGGGATATATAGTTGAATGGAAAAGTATACACTGGGAAAACAAAGATTTATGGAGAAAATTATATGAGCTTCATTATAAACGTTTGGAAGCAGCTTGGCATATGAATATGAGTATTCAAATGGTGAAAGAGCTCCGTTTGCACATTATGAAGCAGTCACATTATGAGCCAGTCAATTAGAAACGCTAAACCATTTAGAAGAACTTGAGCATTGAAATAACTCAAGAAGCGCCGGGGCCAAATGGCATTTCTGCAAAAATAATCAAGATACTAACTGTATAAATGTGCGATTCTTGATGTGATGAACAGAGTTCTTGAGAGAAGGGAATTTCACACAGGATTTTCTTTTGGATACAGGACGAAAGACGCCTCAACATTTAAAAAATGGTGGCTAAAGAAAGATATCAACGAAAAAGGCGCCTTGGCAGAAAATTTATACATATTGTCAAATATGGAAAATAATCATGGAGTAATTGAAATTCATTTAAGCGAATACATGAATTGAAAGATGTTCCAACCTCAACTGCAATATTCTAAAACAAAAACACTCAGTATTCAGAATGCCATCTTTCAATATTCCAAGTTCATATACATCAAAATTGATACGATCACAGGATATAGAAATATAAAACAATCTCCGAATACGCAAATTTTTCACAGATTACATACTGAACATTTACCTTAGTAGCTGCAATGTCTGCGTATAAATCTTCATAAATATTGAGGGACGTCAAGATCATAAAGAGAAAGTATTGAGAAATTCATTCAGTATCTATTGATCTTCAGAAAAGGTTGCAGCAATGCAGCACATCTCCTTTTCTTTGATCCTGCTGGGTGGCAGTATAATGTAAGTTTTTGGTGATTTATTTTATTTTTGATTAACATTTTAGTGTAAGTTTATTCCTGAAGTATTTTCCTTGTTTCGTTACAATGAATATTTAATTAAGATTTTAAATGCGTTCTTTCATTTTTTGGATGAATGATGAATGGGTGAAACAGCGAATAAAATCCTCTCGTTTTCAAAACAAGCGAGTACAGAGTTACGACAATATTCTAATGTGCAGGATCAACATCACAAGCTACTGATAAAGTCATACAAATTGCTAGGAAATCCAAACAAGGTATATGCAAAACCACTCTGAATGTTAGTCGTTGATTCAGTGATCATTAGTGTTATTAGGGCTTCTTAGGGTCTGAGAGTTAATGGAATGCATTTTTTCCCGTCTATCAGTAGAATAGCTTCAGTTTTATTAGGAACCAGTTCAAGTTATTTTTGTCATCTACGAATTGATCTTTTCAATGTTCTATTTGCTTCAGCCATTAGCATAGGCTCCGTTTTTTCTGTTACCACAACGTAAATCCTCAATCCACTTTAGGAGAACTTTCAGCGAAATCGAACGCTCGAAACTGAAAACCGGCATTGGTCTGATTTTAACGGATTCGTAACATTTTCGGTTCAAGAAATGCTAATTTTTGTATCATTGGTTTAACTCTACGACGATATTTTCACACCGGAAGTATTTATTGTTCCTTGAAGCCTAAAGATATGTTGAAAATGAAATTTTCTCCTATAATTATTTCTTGCATAACTATTCTTCGCTGTACCCTCTTTGTATTATCATGGTTCTCATTCAAATTCCAAAAAAGTTTCTCTGGCCATTTGCAGCACCAAAGACGTTCTGTGTATAAAAGTGTAACCTTGAGAAAACATGGTATACACGGAATAGCTGGAGCTTTTTCCTAACACCAAACCGTTATTTTGACACCTCGACACGTGTTTCGATCACCAAGTGATCACCTTCAAGAGGGAAAAAACTCCAGTAATATTCATTACTACACCAAAGGTTCCAAACGGTGCATCACAAGTATGGGATAGCTTACAAGAATAAATAACCTTAGCTGCTTGGTCTTAGCTACATAATTATTCATGTACCATCGACCTTGAGTACAGAGCATTTTTATACACGAGGCTCACTGAAGACTTTCGAAATATAAACATTTTCAAGATCCTCAAGACCTCACTGATTATCTGATTGAATTGGCCGATGCTTGATAAAAATGCATACGCAAAGCAACACATGTCGCGTTGTTGAATTGTTATTAGAAACTATTTATTAAATCTTGATTTTAAATTTCATTCGGAGATAGTGTAAAATATTCTAGAAAATATCTTCATCACTTACCAAACAGTTACTGTTAAAGCACTTTGCGACCTTCTAGGACAACACATCTCATTGCAAACAGAACCATCTGCTGATCCAATGCTACCTCTTGGTGGTGGAGTAGCACAGACATGCCTTCCACCTGAAGCTCCAACATACTCTACTGAAGGACTTCCGCAAATACTATGGCGGCACTGTCCCTTCGATATCTTCAAATTTGGTGAAACGAAGCCTATGCACTCTTTACTTTGCTGACACTGCACGTTACCACACTGGGTACTCTTTTCTTGTTGATAACTACAATGGTACTCTTTTCCCTGATAATTTTGGCACTGAATTTCTTGAAGACTGCTATTGACACATGGTACTTCTTTCTGATGGATATCTTTACCTTGACTGGTGACCGAACTGCTTGAACTGGAGCCGGGACTTGATTTGGATAGTTGATAACCTTCTTGATACTGACAACACTTCAATCTACTGGGCGTACCCATATGTGAATACCTCATTCTTTGGTGTTGGTTTGCGGAATATGGCAACGGTAATCTATAGTGAAAGGCGAGGTCTCTTCTCATATAAGGGTCATTTGAATTGAACTGTTTGTACCCGTATGCTTGGTAAGAACCAAGATACGGCTCTTGTTGCTGGGGTACATATCTCTCAACAGGCACATGTGCGTTTGGTGGCAAATATCTTTCGCCACCACTAAATCTATTTTCATTATTTACATATTTATCGGATTGGTGAGTAGGATGATTACTACCGTTTTGTTGGTATCTCTCAGAATAGTTGTGGTACCTATCCTTATATCTATGCTCATTATGATGAAACCTGTCGTTGGAGTTATTCGGTGATGCCGAATAGCCTTGATATCTTTGTGATTTATCATATCTATCAAGTTTTTTCGGAGAAGGTGCAAAAGTTTCGGTGGGTGATGGTGATAGCGGAGGAGGTGGAATGAAACGATCCGGTTGAGGTACCGTGGTTGTTGGAGATGGAAATGTGTTATTAGAAAAACAATCAGGGCTAGGTGTATTTTCAGGTGAAAGAGGAGGAGGAGGAAAGAATCTGTCATTCGCTGGAGCTGGAGAAGGCGGTTCCAAATATGACATTTGCGAAAATGATATTTTTTCCGATCGATCGATCCTGTCCTGCGTGGCAAAACGTTCAGGGCACGGTATTGCAGAAAAGCGATCTTGGTTGAATCGTTCATTAACATATTGTTCGAACCGATTCTGATACTGATCTCTTTGTTGCCTTTCCCAATCTTTTCGATCAGAGCTAACCGATCGCTCCTTGTTTTTGTACAGTTCTGCTTTGGAACCTCTTCTGTGCCTTTCTGTAGGGGTATACCGTTCGGTACAACATATACTCTGTCCAGGAACAATCCTTTCATTGGTGGTGTTGCTGGAATTTTCAGTAGCAGAGGGTTGGTACATATCAATCGGTGTATAACGGTCATTATTAACACTACTCTTCTCCTTGTCTGTTGAAAGGGTGTGATACCTATCCGTAGGCGTTGTAGTTCTAGAGTACCTATCCAACGTGGCATGGGTGTGGTACCTATCGAGACTACCAATGTTCTGAACCGGCGTATACCTCTCCGGGAATCGTTGACAGTTCGACCTCTCATATCTGTAACAAAAACGTAATTATTAAATAATAGAGTAACATGAGAAATATTTAGGAAATCCGTGTAAAAGTTAAATTGTCTAACATGATATAATACCGTCAACCGGGGTAATATCGGATGGCAGCGGTTATATCGGACGATGTGGTTGTATTTCAAATTGCGCGCGCTACAGATGTTGAGTGACAGTTCGGTTACTAAACAAAAATATCCCTAGATTAACGGATAACCTACCAGTCGTACATGTGTTTCGCGAGCGATCAGAAAATCAAGGTAAGCTCACAAAAAATTAATTTTTAGAGTCACTTTTTTCGTTAAAATTGAGACAGCCAAATAGTGTCCTCTGGCGTGTGGACCCTGTGCATGATAGCTACATGGTGCAATGGGATTAATATTTGTTTTTACTCTTATAAAGACCCCCATAACCTCAAAGTTCATTTTGCGTCCTTCCTTTTTGCATAAAATCGAAATTAACTGAAAGTGTGTTTTTCAGGGGTAATATCGGATATGCCACGAAAACACCGTCATAAGCTGGGAACGCCTTATCGACGCAATTATTTCCAAGAAAGCATGTAAAGAGCATTGAAGGCCATTATAGATAGTGGATATTTATTCAAGCAATCAGCAGAAATGCACGGGGTACCGTGAGGTACCAGAGGTGAACATTCTGACAAACTCGAGAGGCCCCCAATTTTATCAGTCACTGAAGAGCGTTGGATGTCATGACTACTGCAAGAAAATTCGGAAATCCTTTTGAGAGGCACACAATCAAGTACTTCGTGCGCCATTATTTGAACAGTAAGGGCGTAAATATACAATATTTTAACGATAATAGACCTGGTGATGACTGGATTGAACACTTTATGGGGCGACACAAGGAGTTATCACTCCGTAATTGTGAAAATATTAAACGAGTGGAGAGAAGCTGGGTGTGGCGAGAAATTCTGACCGAATGGAAACGGACCCATAAAGGAGTTATGCCAAACTCTGTATTTCCTTCGCTGCTGAAGAAGCTTCTGGAAAAATCGAAAGATAGCATGTCGAATAATATACGGTCTGGTTTCCGAGCATCCGGCATAATCCCATTCGATCCAGAACAAGTTTTGAGAAGGATTCGGAAACAACCAGCAGGAGGCACAGATGATGTAATGAGAGCGTTATTTACAGAAGTGATGAACGCGATTGTTGTTCCTTTGGATCAAACCACGACTAGACCCAAACGTAAGTCGAAGATTAGCGTCCCCGCTGGCAAATCGGTGGGTCTTGAAGACCTATGCGAAGTGAATGGTGGTACGTCAACTGTATCTACCTCTCAAGCAGATATCATTGATGAAAACGCATCATCGTCTCAACAAAATGCCAATAATGATACCACAAACTCTGCGATCCTTTTAGAAAACGATAGTGTTAACGACGTCTAAAGTGCCGGTCTAAAGTGCCGGACGATGAATCCTCGTCAGAAGCATCTAACGTTAAACTCAGTAACCTGTGATACATTACAAGAAGGCTGTTTTGCTATTGTTAATTTTTTGTACAATGAAGGGCCAACAAAGAAACGACCAAAGAATTCGTTGCGCAAATTGAAAAGATTGCAAAAAGGTATATTGATGTGAATTGCCTTAGATCCTATAAGGGTCACAAAGATTCCTATGTTTTTCCGAACGTTGAAGACAAGATCAAGATCAAACTTGAACAGGTCCACAGTGTTTTAACTGCGCCTAAAATCCATCGCGATATTTTTGTGTTTGAAGGTCTGCAGTTACAGAGTTAACGAATCAAGTAGGTATACCTACCTACTTGCGTTTTCAGAATGTTATTTTTCGTTTTTTATCTAATGTTTGAAGTTTTTCTGTTTTATTTTTTGACGTTCCTACAATATTTTGTTTTAGGAATAAAGACGTTTATGTCCATTATATCAATTTTTACTTTTATTTTTACTACATCACCCTGTATCCTGAACCCTACATGGTCAAATTTTTTTTTTATTGTCCGATAATGGTTTTTAACCAAACCTATACCGGATACCAGGATCAACGCGTTCTTTTTCAATGTAAAAATGGAATCGTTAACTTCTTATTATAGAATGCATTAGTTAGCTTTAATTTCGTATAATAAAAGAAATATAGACAGATAATTAAAAATATCGTCCGATATAACCCCGGTTGACGGTATGATTTGAAATTTCTGAACAGAACAAATAAAATTAAAAATTAAAAGATTAACTAAAAATAACAATCATATTAAGCAATAAAGCAATACACCGTGAAATGAAATTACAATATTATGAAAAATAAGCACAAACTCTGGCCATTGAAAAAGCCGACAAGGAGCTCCGAGTCTGTTTGAGATACGTTGACACCTTCAAAGTATGGAACCACGGAAATACAGAACTAAAGCACATCAACCGCTTAAAACCTTCCATCACCTTCACGATGGAAAAGGAAATCTACAACGAATTGCCATTCTTAGACGTATTGGGGAAGAGGGCCAACACTGAGTGGGAAACATCTGTATACCGAAAACCCACTCATATGGGACATTATCTGAATCACGAATCCAACCACCATCAATCTACTGAAAGAGGAATCATCAATACTCTAGTGGGTCGTGATTTCGGGCTCTGTAATACGAAAAAAGGTCTCGAGGAGGAACTATAGGCATATTAAAAAATATCTTCAACGGAATGGTCACTCCACAGTAATGGTGGAACGGATTTTGTCTAGAAGACAGCAAGAGCCTCACAAGGAATAGAAGCCCTCACAACCAGTGCTTGCTCTTTCCCTTCATCAGAGGATTGTCGGAAAGAATAAGAAGAATTGAGTCCAAGTACAACATCAGAGCCTGATTCAGATCCGGAAACACAAGCGTAGCAGCCTTACCAAAACCAGGCCACCAAACGCGGACTGCGATTGCAAGAATTGCATTTACCGCATAACCTGTGAGTGCGGCAAATCCTATATTGGTGAAACTAAGAAGCCATTAAAAGTCTGCATTGCCGAGCACAAGAAAATCACACAGCGAGGAGAAACCAGTAAATCGGGAGCATGTTTGGACTCATCAAGAAAATATCCACTGGTCCTGAACTGAGATCATCCACAGGAAGGAACACTGGTTCAAGAGGAAGTTCAAAGAAGCTGCATATATGGATATATGGAAAACTGGATCAACTTGAATTCAGAAGATCTGTCTATTGCAACTAACGTTTTGAAAACTTTCGAGAAAGAAACATAACGCGGACCTTTCAATCGGAATTTGAATTCGGTAGCCAATTCAAGATATATAACTGCGTCCATCACTTTGTTCTTTATGAAGAAAAACAATCTTGATGTGGATTTTTTGTCATTAGGAAGCACAGGTTTTGTACAATATTCCTTTACATCCTCAATTTCGTTTAAGATAATTTGATTCTTTGTGAATTGATACTGATAAAATGATATTAAATTTGGTACCACCTGTTTATTATTACCGTCCTTTTGAAAAAACATGACAAATTTTGCACGGAGTGTCATTAAAAATGATTGTGTTTTACGCTATATTATGCTATAATTTTAATTTGGGTTATTACAGCAAATGCAAGTTTGAACAAAATAAAGTTGACTTTAATTCATGAGTTTTTCAAATTCACTTCGAAAAGTATGCAAATTGATGTTTCAAATGTTGGGTTTTAATTTTTAAAGGGATTTGTTTCTAATTCACATATTGGCAACAGCGCCCATATCAAGTTGAAATAATGTATACGTACCTAGATATTCTACTTTAAAAAAAGAAAATTATCTTTATAAATCAACAATTAAGGCAAAATTTAAATTATAGTTCATAATAATTAAAGACTTTTCATTTTGATTTTGGTAGTTTTTTAATTTTCTCACGTATATCCAATACACAACAAATATTTTTTCAATAATTTAGCATGGATTTGGTGCTGCTAACGAAACCAGACGAATTTAAAACACTAATTTCATATTAAATCTGGTATCTGAAATACATACAGAGAAAAGTAATATAAAATATTTGCCTTTTATGTTCTCTGATTCTGAATATCCGAAACGATTAATTTCCTTATAATAACTGTACAGGGTGAATCGCCAGGAACTGCATCGATCGATTTTGGAAAAACTTTAATTAGGAAAAATCTGAAAATTTGACAATATACTAAAGTTAATGGGGGCAACTCGGCTCAAATAGTTTTTTGGATTCTACAACAGAATCTAAATACTTTTGGTGTATATTAATGAGGGTAACCCTTATTTTTAATGGCTAATACGATTAAATCATAACAATGTGAGGTTTCCATTTGAAAAAGTCACTTAAGACGGTTTATTAAATTTCATTTATATTCTTCTTCTAGGCGGGTTGGCTATCCTTGTTCATCTTTCACTGCCTGAACCAGACTGCATGCTGTTTTTGGCGAGTGCATTGACTTGGGATGTGGGGGTTGAGCAAACCGGCTATCGGATGCCTGCCTCCACGTAGTCCCGCTGGATACGGGAACGACAGAATCACTTGTGGTTCTGTTATTCCCTAACTGAATGGCATCTCAACGATGGCTTATTCCTAAGATGTGTGTATCCGTGCTGAGAGGATAAATGACACTGAGCCTATCAGCTATCTCTACGGAACCTTCGAGATACCGGGCGCCCTCTCGTCGTAGCATCGCCTTGTCACGGTAATGCGGGGCTCTGCTGCGATTGATCTCCTTTTCCTAGCTACTCGTGGGACTTTCATGGACAGAGTAGGTAAACTTAAAAATTCTTTCTGACGCTGAGTCTACAGAGGAGATGGATGTCGAGCTTACGACTCTAACTAACCTCCCTGTAAATTTAGATCAGGAGCGAGTCTACAGAGGAGTTGAGTGTCGAGTTTACGTCTCCAACTGACCTTCCTGTAAATATAGTTCAAGAGCGAGAGCTTCCCAACTCCTGATCCAATGACTGAACCTAAAAAAAAAAGTTTGGTGGTTCAGCCAGGAAACGACTAAGTAGTCTCCTCAAGAGCGGGGTATCTTATAAAACCGCCTTGCACCAAATTCTTGAGCGGCGTACGCAGAATATGTCTTAGGTGGAGGAACAAACCCCCCATGAGCAGGTTAGCAAACGTTTGCGCCCAAGTGATGATTCACCAAAACCAGAGGCGAAAAAGCCCTCTTAGTTCAAGAGCGAGAGCTTCCCAACTCCTGATCCAATGGCTGAACCTAAAAAAAAAAGTTTGGTGGTGCAGCCAGGAAACGACTAAGTAGTCTCCTCAAGAGCGGGGTATCTTATAAAACCGCCTTGCACCAAATTCTTGAGCGGCGTACGCAGAATCTGTCTTAGGTGGAGGAACAAACCCCCCATGAGCAAGTTAGCAAACGTTTGCGCCCAAGTGATGATTCACCAAAACCAGAGGCGAAAAAGCCCTCATATGGGAAAGTTGTCGCGGGTATCAAGGTGGGAATCTTGCACCTTGACTATCCGGCTACCTCATTAACGATGAAACAGCAGAGCATATACTTTGTGTTTGCCCCGCTGGGGACCGAATCAGGTTTTTTGAGTTCGGCAGATTCGTACTCTTACCATCTGACCTGAAAAACCACTCACCACGACCACAAACTAATCGGCTTCGTTAAAAAACTGGGTTTATTTGGTCGAGTGTGTGCCACAATAAACCCTTGCGAATTGCGGTGGTGGGTCGAATAGACCCACTCACTTTGGACCTAACCTAACTTAATCTATATTCTTCTTGTTTGGCCACCCTGTATTGATAATTATCGAAATTTCATATATAGTCTATTGAATTTGGTTCTATTCAACAAGGAACATGACCAAGGCATAATGATAAAGGTTTCCATGTTAATTATTGTAGGGTCTGCAAATATCATTTTCGACATAAAAACTTAAATATGTCAAAAACGGTTAGACATAGATATAGGACGTTATACACAAAAAGTATTCATCACCTTTATCATTATGCCTCGTTCGGGTTCCTTGTAGAGTAGACCTAAATTCAATAGACTCTATATGAAATATCGATAATTATAATACAGGGTCAAAAAAGAAGAATATAAATGAAATTCAATAAACCGTCTAAAATGACTTTTTCAAATGGAAACCCTCCATTTTTATGATTTAATCCTCCCGAAATCTTCAAAAGCCAACTAAACTTCTCTGAAGAGGTGAAATACCTTGGTATTATCCTCGACAAGAAGCTAACATGGAACTCTCATCTACAGAGTAGAGCAAAAAGAGCATACGTGGCTTATGAGCAATGTCGGAAGACAATGGGACGCGCATGGGGTCTTTCACCCCGTGTAGTCGCCTGGATCTACACTGCAATAATAAGACCTATGTTAACGTATGGAGCCATTGCATGGGGACCGAAAGTTCTACAAGCAACGGCCATCCAAAAATTATATCAAATACAGCGACTGGCTTGTTTAAACATCACAGGAGCCATGAGAACAACACCAACCGCGGCAATGGAATTAATCACGGGTCTGACCCCTCTGGA